CATGTACTACTCCTGCGAGATTTGTGGCAATCAGACGTACCGAGGACCGAAAGCGTTTCAACGGCACTTTTCGGAGTGGCGTCATGCGCACGGCATGCGTTGTCTTGGCATTCCGAATACGGCACACTTCGCGCATGTTACGAAGATCGAGGAGGCTCTGGCCCTGTGGCAACGCATTCGCACCACCAAGGAGGCGGAGCGTTGGCGACCCGATGTGGAAGAGGAGATGGAGGACCACGCCGGCAATGTCGTTTCGCGCAAAACCTATGAGGATTTGAAGCGACAAGGTCTCCTCTAAGCGGCCACTGTCTCCTGTTACATCTACCGTTGTTGAAGCCATAGCCTTTGTGACGTATGTGTTTATATGAAATAAAGCCCATTTTTATCTATGCTTCCGCTCTCCTGATGTGCCTGATGATTCTTGCATTGTCTCTATCTTTTAATGGTTAACATGAACATTTGGTCGTTCTGCATTGTTGTTATTATTATAAAAAGAAACACTTTTACGGATTTGGAGTGCGTGGAATCGCCTCCAAATGTGGCAGAGACTTGGATAAGCTTTTTTGTTTTTCTAGCACCTCATACTCGATTTGAAAACGTAAAGCTCCATTCTAGTGTGCAGTTACAATGAAACAGAGTTGCAGACGTGTAGTTCGCTATTTCCCTTCCATTATACGAGGTCATTCTCTCCCGACGCTTAATTTACCTCAGCACTAGTTCGTGTAGTCGCTCTGTCAACGTCGGTGTGTGCCAGTGGTGCTATTCCAGTTGCCTAAAGTTCAACGCAACAGCTGGTGGATTTTTCTTGCAGTATCACTACTTGTATCGCATCGCATCATCATTGTATTGCAGTCACACTGGAAGGCCTGTGTTCTTTCCTACTTTTTTTTGGAATTTTGAGCTCCTTGCGTACTTAATGGCTCCTGATAATGACAAATCATTTTTTGTACAAACTTTTAAATTTCCACTTTAGTTGCCTTTGTATCCGATTAAATCCAATGCGCTTGAGAGGAGGTGTTAAAAAATCACCGACTTTGTGGCCTCCCGATGCTTTACTAGGTGAAACCGTCAATGACATGCATTTGGTTTCTTCAGCTCTCAAAAATGGAGAACCCTTCCAATACTACTGCTGCTTCGAATGACGAAATAAGTGCCCTCTCAACAGGTAGGAGAGCTAGATTTCTCACTTTTTAGACACCGAAGGACACGCAAAAGAGGAAACGGAAGTATTTAAGACTCCAGAAGTGGTAACTGATAAAGGGTCGTCCGACGAAATTTCTCATGAACATTCGCTAAACTCTTCCGTAAGCACTGTTTTGGATCGGGTTCCACGTCTGGCTTTTTAAGTAAAAGTTATTTTCATGATTGTAGAAGTATTACCAGCCACCGAGTTGGGCTTGTGTTTGCCCCTCAGAGTCATGCTACTTCCTTGAGGTGATAAAGAACGGAACTTCCTTGCCCGAGGCCACTATTGACCTCTCTAATATTGACCACTGCATCCTTGGACGCCAATCGGGTCCCTTGCTGAATCCTCAGAATCCCACAGGTCGGGTTTCTACCCTCCTCCATCCCTCCATAAGCCGTGGACACGCTGTTCTTCAGTTCGGCAATAACCACGACCTCACGCCTGGTTGGTACATCTACGACCTTGACAGCACCCATGGCACTTTTGTGAATAAGCATCGCGTTCCACCGGGACGATATATTCGCCTCCGTGTTGGCTACGTCCTTCGTTTCGGCAGCAGTACGCGTCTGCTCATTCTTAACGGACCGGAATCCGATGTTGAATCGGAAACCCAAGAAACGTGGAGTGAACTAGTAGCGAAAAAAAAGGCAAAAATTGCGAGAAGGGAACAAAAGAAGGCTCTTAATGATGAAAATGATGCAAATGCATGCAACTGGGGCATGGTGGGTAAGTCTTGTGTTGATATTCTTATTACTTTGAGAGACGGTAGAAGCTAATCTTTGTCTATCCCCTAGATGACGTTGACGAGGATGAAAATGCGTTGCAGCAACGCTTGGCAGAGAGTGGAAACTGTTTGAGTCATGAGAGCTCCTACATTGCAGATCCAAAAAAGGCGTTGAGAGCTTATTTTGATCGCGAGGGGTTCGATCCCTTACCTGAATACGAATTCGTAGAAGGTCGTTTTGGCCAGCAGATATGTAGGATTGAGTGCGTTTTTCACGTTTCCTGATCGTTTATAACATGAGAGGAGGGTAAAAAACACCTTAACCTCTCCCTGTAGGTTGCCATTGGAGGCGGGGACACTGTTTGCAGAGGTGCCAATGACCGGTCAGAAACGAAAGGAGGCCACTGTGGCTTGTGCTCTGGAGGCTTGCCGCATCCTCGATCGTTTGGGCGAATTTGAGACCAATAAAGGTTTGATTGGGATTTGGTCAAACATTAACGCATCCCTTTTAACATTTTTTGTGCATTCATATAGATAAGACAGTGTATTTTTTCAATGGGGGGCAATGAATTACATCGAATCAGTGCTTGAGAGGTGCCTTTTCTTCCCAATTCAGTTATTATCGTAGAGATGGGACCCGCGCCAGGTCAGGTGGGGTCATTAATCACATGAAATGAGTCTAGACTACTCTAGGTCACTGTCTCCCTTTTACACCTTCATCATTAGCCAATCCGACGTTCATATTAACACCTTGATCAGCATTGTTTTTCATCTCTTTCTTCCCTTTCATTGGCGTTTTCAACGCAGAAGGAGCCGAGGCGGTGAGGCGAGCGCGTGAGAAGGCGTATTGGCAGTCGAACGACTACTATTCTTCTGATGAGGATACTTTTTTAGACCGTACTGGTCAAATTGAGGCCCGACGGCGCCGACGGATGAGACGCATGGGTGTGGAGGAGGCTGAGATTGAGCCAACTCCTGATTCACACTCACAAAATACTTCTGAAGAGCCACTTGATTCTCTATCCTTGGTGAGTTCAACTGAGTTGGAGTTTTGGCTTGTTTGTTATCATCTGGATTTGTTTTTCAACATTTTGCAATTGAAGCCCTCTTATCATCATCACCGAAGCATCGTAGTTACCGATTTTTGGATGAGACAACCTTAGACTCTGTGACATTATCACTTGCGTCTCTGTCCTTTTTTTTTCAGTTGGCCACACTAGAGGAATTGGGAAAGAAGATAATTGAAGTGGAGACACAGTTAAATGCAGCTGAGCGCGGTAGGTTGTATCATTTTTTTTTCTTGACGATGCTTCTTCGTCTTTCACTTATCATTCTCCTCACTCTTCCTACAGCCTTGGAAGCAGCCGGTGAAAATGCCACTGAAATGGACGAATTGGAGGCGTACATGGATGCTATTAAAAGAGGTGAGGGGGTTTGGGGTACTACTCCGTTCTTGTTTTGATTAACCTAACAGATCTTGATAAAAGTGAATTTGGTTGTCTGTAGTCGTGACTCAATTCCTTTTGCGACTAATGAGAGTGTATACGAGTGATGGGGGACAAAATTAGTGACATTTGCATAGAATTTATTGGGGTAGATGATGTGATTAATTGGTGATGTCGAGCGCAAAGTGTTGGAGGAAGTGTGTTTTGTACAACTGGCTTTTTTTCGTGGTCCTTAGTTCGTAAACCTGTAGGTAGCCGGTCATTGTTTAAAGTTGAGTTGACTCATTTTAAATAACCTGTTTGCCAAGTGATCAGGGAGGAGTGGAAGTCATACCAAAGTACGACGGTATCTCGGTTTCTTTGTCTACTCTTCTTGTGATAAGGTGCACCGAAGAGGGCAGAACGACAGACACTGAAACGGCGTTTGGTAGCACTGCGGCAAGAGGAGACACGTCTTCTCCGAAAAGTCGGTATTCGTGGTGGTGGCAACAGCACGGCTCGCTTCTCCTCCTCCGCCTCGTCTGCCGCAGCCACTGCAGTTCGGGCTGTTGCCTCCCAGCAATCCAGTACTGACAGGTACATTCCGTGGAAGAGGCTTTGGTGTAGGAAGGTTGGTGTAAAGGCGTTAATAATTTGCACCAGATCTCATTCCTGGAGGCTTTAAAACGGATCTCAATACCATTGATGTTGTTGTAGCAAAAATAACTCAGTGAACACGTTGACTGAAGATTCTTGTGGAACCGAGTTGCGTCAAGGCATTAAGCATTACTTCTCCTAGCAAATCTGTTTGCATTGTAGACCGTCCGAGACTCCACACACTGAAAGCAACCTGAATGCTATCAAGAGGCAGCTGCCCAAAGTAGGTCCGCAGATCTTTTTGCCTAGAGGCTTTTATTAGTTCAACCGCACTTCCTTGCAAAAACGCCAAACGGAGGAGGAGTCCAAGGAGGAAGAATTTGTCCCCGAAGTTGAGGAGGATGATGACAATGTGGCCACACAGCAAGTTAGTC